CTCTTCTACACAAGTAATTTGGATCCTTTCCCTTTAAAAGTATTACGACATCGTCTGCATAGCAGACAGGTCTAAGTCCTTTCTCGGTTAGGGTCCTTAGGAGGCTATTAATCGTGGTGACCCAGAGTAAAGGTGACAAAATGCCACCCTGTGGTATACCGCGAAATACCTTTTTCCTGATAGTTATATCGTACATCTCGCAGCTTATCCATCTGTTCCTTAGCATGTAGTTGATCCAGTTACGGAGCACCCGGTCAACATAAAACTGGTCTAGGGATTGGATAAGGGTATCAGTGTGCACGTTATTGAAAGCGCCTTCGATGTCAATGCATACTGCCAGTGTATACAGTTTGCTATCGAAAGATTCACTTATGTAGTGGACAACTTCATTTAAAGCGGTTTCCACCGATCGTCCCTTTACATAAGCATGCTGCTTATATTTAAGGTCATTGTATGGTATGCTGCTTTTAACCATGCTATCGACTATCCGTTCCAAGGTTTTAAGTAGGAAGGACGTAAGACTTATCGGTCGATAGGACTTAGGTGTCGCATAGCTAGGTTTCCCTGGTTTGGGTATAAATATTACCTTTGCATCCTGCCATTTAACTGGGGTATATGCCAATTTTAAGCATGCAGTGAATATCTGTGACAGATGTACGGAAACCAGTCCCGCCTCCATCTGCAAAAGTGCCGGGAAAATTCCATCCGGCCCTGCAGCTTTATAGGGAGCAAAGCTCTTGATTGCCCCTTTAACCATGTCAGTTGTAATAACTATTTCCGTGTTACCCTCCCCTTCCTCCAATATCGGTTCATCTATGTTATTCGATATACCGGGTGGGAAATGAGAATCCATTAGGAGTTTCATTGTCTCCTCCATATCCTCAAGCCTCCTGCCCGTGTCATCGATCATAGATTCCGGTTGGACATGAGTTTTGGATAGGAATTTTTTTATCTTCGATACGTCATTTACGCTATCTACCTGTTCACAGAAAAGTTTCCAGGAGTCTCGTTTGGCTTTTCGAACGATTTTCTTATATTCACCAAGTTTATTACGATACTCATCCCAGTATACTGCGGTCTTTTTACGCCGTGCCCGGTTAAATAGTTTGCGAAGAGTCTTCCCAAGGTTCCGGATCTCCCCAGTTACCCAGGGTTTTTCCTGGGCAGATCTCCGCTCTCGCAGAGGGCAGCTGTCCTCGAACGATTCAACCAGGGCACTTGTGAACGTTTCCACTTTGGCATCTATATCCTCTTTATTTCGACATTGAAAAGTATCCTGACCTAAACGGTTCTTTAGTAAGGCCCCGAACATTGTCCAATTAGTTTTAGACTTATTCCGAAACTTTATCGGCTTTGGTGGTGGCCTTAGTATTTTGAATCTTATGTACCGATGATCAGAAAAGGAGTGCTCGTCCGAAACTCTCCAATCCTGAATTTCGTTTATAAGCTCTTCTGAACATATAGTTATATCTAATACTTCTTCTCTGATTCTATTGACGAAGGTAGCTTTATTACCTAAGTTCAATGTTATCAAGTCTTTAGTATTAAAGAAATCCATGAGGGCTTGTCCCCTGCGATTGGTGTTTGTACTACCCCAAGCTACATGATGCGAGTTGGCATCACAACCTATTACAATTTTCTTATTTTCCCTTTGTGCCTCTTCAACCAGTTTCATCAGATCCGACGTTGGTGGTAGGGTCGGAGAATCGAAAGGCAGGTAAATAGATGCAAGGAATATGTTGCCTCGACCTTGCTTCAGCACCGTTGCATCCGATGTTGATAATCCTGTTGAGAGGAGAAAACATAAGTTCTTGTGACATAAGATACATGTTCTCGGGCGAGATCCTGTATCAGCGTAGAAAAGTTGGAAATTTACGTGATTTAATCCAGAAACCTTGTTGCGAATCGTCCAAGGTTCCTGGATTAAAGCTATATGTATTTTACCTGTGTTGATTTTAGCCATCAGAGCGTTGGTAGCTGTCTCGCTCCGATGGAGGTTTATTTGGATAACCTCAATCATGGTCATCCATTAAACTGTCTTCCAGCGAGTTGGTGGTCACCTCCTCGCTCTTTGGATTTGACTCCTCCGGATAGCCTGAAGTGGCTACTAATGCAGTGAGTACTGTTGATGGCACTGCGGTGTCCTTATCAGGCATAGGAATAGCAGTATTTTTAATAGACACATTCCCAATTCTGGAGAGCATTGCTGTTCTGTCTTCTGGCGGGTGAGTGATTTCCTCCTCGCTTTTAGGATTTGACTCCTCAACATTGCTAGTACTTGCTAATGATGCTTTGGGTACTGTCTTAGGTGTTTTAGTGTCCTTGTCGGGGCCGGTTTTGACAGCCCTTTCAATCGGCGCCTTCCCAATTTTGGGAAGGGCAACTACACTTTCTTCTGGCGAGTTAATGGTAAATTCCTCGATTTTAGGATTTGACTCCTCAACGTTATCAGTAGTGGATACTGTGGTCTTAGGTTTTTTAGTGTCCTTTTCGAGGCTTGTTGTAACAGCCCTTCCAATCGGCACCTTCCCAATTTTGAATATGACAGATTTAGAGGCGAAGTAAGCCCTACCTTTATTCTTGGAAAGACTAGCCATGGATTTCTGGTCGATACCTATTACAAATAAAGTTCCCTCAGGTTCTTCTTTCCTGTAAAAGACATCCCATTTTTCCACGGCCAGCTCAGCATTTTGACCTCCAAGAATTTCCAGTATACGTTCATTAGCCAGTTTACTGCCCCATCCTTTTATGTAGACAGTGGACTTTAGGAGCACCGGAAGCTCGCTCTTCTTTGCCAGTCCCAGCCTAGCGCCGTCCCAGGGAGGAGGGATACTTTCCACCAAGTTCTTTAGGGTGCTAACACATTGGTGAGATGCCAACCTCATCAACATCACGCCCATGCTGAACTCGCAGCTCTCGCTCTCTATTGGTTGTTTGCCCTTTGAAGCTATTGCATGGTCCACTATCTTATTGTTGACCAGGTCTTCTATTTTACTCTGTTGGTCTATTGGAATTTTGCCTGTCGGATTACCGGCATCGTAAACTGCATAGCAGAGATCGTCCCGGTGCCTACTTCTGGCAACTTTGGCGTAAGATGGCGGCTCTTTACCTTTTCCTCCGTCTAGCTTCTCCTTCCTCGTTTTTCGGGGCTTCTTTTGAGATTCCCTTACCTTCGAGGTTGATTTCGCCGACGTGTTCGTCTTCGGAATATCTGGCTTGGCGTTGTCACCCTTACTCGCAGGATTCTCACTTGAGATTCCTTTGAGTGAAGTATGGCTTGGCTTCGACTGTGTATTAGAAGACGGGGAGCTCTTTTTCTTCTTAGGCTTATTCTCAGTTGTCAACTCCTCGGGAGACCTGATCCTTTTTGCCTCAGATCTTGTGAGAGAGTCCGATTTTTCCTTTGGAGTGTCGTGGGATTGACTAACTATGATTTCCTGAAGCATCTTTTTCAACTTCCTCCTCTGTGCTCCAGAAAGTCTTTTCTTAGTAATAGGTAGTTTAGCTATGCTATCACTCACCTCTTTCACCATTTGCTCTACTTCATCCTTTTTGGGATTTGCTATAATGGTATTATTATTATTATCATCTGAGGATTCAGAGTCGGAACCCTCACCTATATTTAAAGGCTGAGGTAGCTTAGAGCTCTCTCCGAGTACATCCTTCTCTTTCACCCCTATATTTTTGCCAGCGGCATGCTGTACACTTGACGCATTGTCCGCCACGGAGGCCAAGGTACCCACCTCCGTAGTAGTATTCTGCTCACGATTGCAGGATGACGACGACACGTGACTCGCGAGTAGATCAACACTTGCCGCCGGTACTGGGTTATTTAGGCCCTGCACCGTAACTTTTATCTTTTTATTTTTATTTTCCATATTTGTTTTTTTTTTTTTTTTTTCCAGTTTTTTGGTCCGCGGGGAATATAATATTCCCAGGTGGTGGACAATCTGCCCTCCCTCAGCTTAAGTGAAATTAAAGCTGGGAGAGGACAGATGGTCCATCACCACCCCCTATCCGCCACCCGGGGACGCGCTCGGTAGGAAAAATCTGGAAAACTCCCCCGAGAATTAAATACTAAAATCGGAAGAAACTTTCCGCGCTTTTAAATAAGTTGGTGGAAGATTCAAGGAATGGGTCAGTTGACTCTTCGTATGTGTTAAATTTTTAACGTTAGGTGTGGGGAACCTACGGGAAATGTATTTAGAAAGGTCTAGTGAACACTACGTGAGCATATTACACTCAAATCTAAAGATAAGTGCCTTAGAAATGGACTTGGGAAACTTCATATCACGGCAAGATAATAAGCTTAAGTACTTGATAAAGTTAAAAAATAACATTTATGTAGGAAAAAACACCGGAAAATTGGAATGTCCTGTTCAGAGCACCGCCCTAAATCCAATAGATTAATTTTGGACCACAAATTGATCAAAAAATTCCGATGAAATAGTGAATAAAATTGGATTCCTTTTGAAAATAATCGTATGCGGGAAAACAAGAGGAGGGGAAGGCGACTGGGAATAATAATGGTAAAAAAAATGCCAAAATGGCTTAAGTAGATCCAAATATTCAAATCAGAACCAAAATAGATAAACAATTTTGATATACAAGAAATTTTAACAATGATACATAAAATTTACAGTTTATTTTGTCCGACAAAAAAAGTGAATTTACTTTAATTTTAAATTTTATACAGAATCATTTTAAGTACAATAATTTTGTTTTATTGTTATTTTTGTAGCATTGTACATTTGTTTAATGCAATACATTAGAATCAACAATAAAATCGATTTTGAATTTTTGGTTAGTTAGGGCCGTTTGCGTTTCAGATGACAATATCTAGACTAGAATCAAAATTTAGTTAAATCAGGGATTCAAGTGTTGACACGAAGTAGATTGGACTATTTTTATTTTTCTAATTTTTTTATAATATCCTTATTTTTGTTTTAAACATCGTTTAAACATGCCGATTACATTATTATTTTTTTTTTTATTTTTAGTCGTCATTGTGGACGTGTAGTTTGCTCAAAGTGTTCCAATAACGATGTACCTATATTGAAGTTTGGTATTAATAAGCCAGTGCGTGTTTGTGGCGTCTGTTTTGATGTGTTACAAGGTGTAAATGGAAATTTGCAATAGAAAGAAGAGAAACGAATATTTGCGTGATGTTCTTAAGCCATATTTCTTTTACAATAAAACCCGTTTTTTACGCTACAGCACAATATAATATTAAGCTGATCAGTGCATTCCTTAGTTATTCTTAAATATGTTATTTAAATATTAAAGTAAAATGTAATTTTATTTATGTTATTTTATGTATGATTTAATCGAAAGATAACAAAAAATATTACAATATTTAAAATGTTATATAATTTTAAGAAAACTAAACTACACTTTAAGTGATTGAAATATTAAATGTTTATACTCTCGTATCCATAGCCGTACGAATTCATACATACATATATGGAATATAAATATTGATGATACATTTCTTTTTCATATTTTTCTTTCTATTTTGAGTACACATATACTACATACATACATATGTTTGTTTGAATATTGGATAGATATGGTCCTTGTATATAATGTAATCTTATTATTTTAAGACAAATTCTATTTAAATTGTCTTTGATGTTTAATATACACTCACTTAAGTTTTTATCATTTCTGTTTATCAAAAACAAATTTTAATGTGTTTATTATTACCACTACTAAACTTTAACTGAATACGAAAAGAAAAATAAATTTTACAACATAATTTTATGTGTTTAAATAGCAGTTCTTTTATTCACACACATTTAGAATATACATACATATTATCACAATACTTTTTTTTTAATATACAGTAAACTGTAAAGGAGAGAAAAATTACAAGTCTTTGTAAAGAACACAATAGTTTTATATACTTAGTTAAAAAAAAAGATAAATTATAAGTTTTTCGTTTTAAATTCGAGTAAATGTTCCATCAGTATATACATGAATTTTACAATATAGAACCGAACGTCTCTAGTATCTAAAAGCACTTTTAAATTCACTAGTATATGCATGATAAGTTATAGTTTTATAAATATAGCAAAGCACTTAATAACGCTATCACAGTCAGTGAATTCGTACTGAGTAGTAACTGTTTTGACGAATTGCACAAGTTTCCTCGGCAGTAACAAAGAGTTTTCAACGAAGCAGCAATTGTATTTTCTTTAATATCACCGCAGCCTTCTTCGTAGACTTCTTGCACTGAATGCTCCTGATGCCATCGACCGTTATTGAAGACCTTAAATTAAAAAAAATATATATATTTTTTATATATACGTACATACATACAATGGGGGGGAAATAGATACGGTTATATTTCGGATAAAAAATGTATTGTCATCCAAAAACATCCCATTAGAATTTTATAGATAACTTAACATTTTTAATTAATGAATTTTATTGTTTCTTAATTTTGTTTAATAAATTTTTAAAGTGGGACCTCCGATTCAGCCATCTGGTATTACACTACTAAATAAAGTGGTGAAAAACCCAATATTAACGAAGAACCATATAAATATATATTACCTAATGTACCCTGTAATGAAAGTAGATTTAAATTTCAATTGAGATATTAATTAAATTATAACGGGTATTTTTTGGATGACTATAAATTTTTCACACGAAATATAACTGTTTCTATTATTTTTTCCGCCACTTTATGTATATCATCATGCCATTCATGCGCTGAATGAGTTACTCTCATGTGTTTATTAGGGGAGTTTTTTTCTGTATAATTTAAAGTGTGGGATGTAATAATGTTACACTTTATATTAGTCATTAGTGTAGAGTAGAGCAGTGCTTTTCCGTAAACTTTAGAACTACATACTCTATTTAATAAATTATTCCAATTTCAAATACATATTTATTTACCGATATTCTACATTTCAATTCGAATCGAAAATTGTTCCCAGGTGGTGGACAGTCTGCCCTCCCTCAGCTTAAGTGAAACTATAGTTGGGAGAGACAGATTGTCCATCACCGTCCCTATCCGCCACCCGGGGACGCGCTCGGTACTGGAAAAAACTGGAAAAAAACTCCCCCGAGTCACCTTGATTAACGAAATTAATTTTTGTATTGTAATTATTCTCTACTAATAAGACGAATATTTTTCAACAGAAAAATAAAAATAATGAAGGAGAGAGTATTGTTCCAAATATCAATATACAAAATTCTGTTTGCAGCAAAACAGATTTAAAGTCCAACAAAAGGGTCGAAAACAGAAACCAAAGTATTCTATAGAATGGAGCTGTACTAAAAACGGATTTTTTTTCAAAGTTTATGGTATGGTCTCTCAAAAATTTGATGTGATGGATGATTCAGCACTGCTCTCGTTTAGAAAAGTCTCTGGATTAAAAATTTGTGTATTCATTACATGACTAAATAGCTCGAGCTGTAGTTTTCGTTTCTCAAAATTCCGAAAAATAACTTTCTAACTAAACATGTAAATATGTCAATATGCATGCATACGTATGTATGCATATTAAGTATATTAAGTCGGCCCCTTAAAATGTTATTCATATTTCCAATTAAAATGAAAATTTAATTAATTTTAGTATATCGTTCATATGCTACAAGAGGTTATTTCGGTAATAAATTTTAAACATAATAAATAAAGTAACACAAATCTGAATTTTGAGTTATGCCGATCTTATATATCATATATCAATATAAAAATTCTATTTTTGTACTTTAATATTTTTAAGAGATAAGTGATAAATGCTGACTTACATATCACTAATCTTTAGGAAAATTAAGGTACAAAAATTTTATTTTTACATTTTTTAAAATAATATAATCTTTTTAATTGCAAATATAGTTTTTTTTTTTGTTTCATACAAATAGGGGTAAATTAATATACACATATATATAAATTTATGTTTATCTTATATTATGAGTCATTTTGAATAATTTTAATTTTACATACTTGTTTTGTATCCTTTTGCGGGGCACACCCACGTGTAAATGTCTCTTGTTGCTGGCCATTTTGTAGATGTAGTGTTGAAATTGTTTTAAGACACATCGTGGAGTAGGGACAATCAACTATGTATTCGTCTGATTCATCGAATTTTGAGCACATTGGTGTAATAATTGTGGCATTTTTTGAATATGAATAGATTTTTTCAACTGTCACAGCACATTTAAAACATTTGATAGCACTTGAGGAACCTTTAAGTAAGAAATTAAAAATATTTCACATTAAAACAGAATTTTTGTTATATGTATTTGCAAAAACTATTTTGAAAAAATTGCTAATGACGAATGTAAAAATATTTAAAAGATCTTCCAAAAAACACAAACAACAAAAAAAACAAATAACTTGAATCATTGAAACATCATTTTCGAATTATTGAATTTGCATTGGTTCAATAATTCAAAACACTGGCATAAAAACGTGATCACCATTGACACGCTAATGTTAAAATCATGCATGTACCAGTAAGAAGTTACATAAGAAAGTTGTAGTTTAATCAGAGGTATAAGTGATGACGAAGTGGCTCGATTCAGGTGCATGATTTTAACATTTCGAATAATAGAACCAATGCAAATTAGATGATTCGAAAACGATGTTTCATTGATTCAATCTATTTGTTTTGTATGTATTTTTTGGAAGATATTTTTGAGAAAAATATTATAGTGGAAAGATATTAAAATAGTATTAATAATCAAAATTATTTATAATAACACATAAATCTCGTTTTATTAAATTAAAAATTTTATTTAATTTTTTAATTTTTAATGAATTTTGTTAAATGCGGAATGGGTTGCATTTAGGAAGACATTTAGAATGAGTTATATTAGCAATCCCAGCAAAAAAAATGTTGAAGTTGTTCAAAAAGAAGGGATATATCGAGGGACTATATTCAATAGTCTCTATCTAAAATAACACAAGTTTTCAGGAGAGCAAAAAAACTGTTTATTTAGCTAGTTCGTGAAGATTTTTGATTTTTTTCTTCTACAATATATTTTTAAGGCCATATTCTAAATTGTTATATAAAAAGAATTAAAAATTTTGCATTATTTGCAGAATTATTCACAACTTTATATCAGATAGAGCTTTTTTTCTACGAAATTTTTATTTACAACCTTCAGATAGACAGTTTTTCATAGAAATATAAATTTTTTTATTTGATTTAATATCAATTAATATAATATTTTATGCAATTTAATGAAGTAATATAAACCAAATTGTTGAAAAAGCAGCAGATTATAAGGTTTTGGTCCAAAATCAATGTTATATGGTTAAACACGGAATAAAATTGATCAAATTAGTATTATAATGTGCGATATCTCGAAAACTATTAAACCGTTTTCAAATATTTTGCGGATTTGTGTCCAGCATGTCCAAATTAGTAAAAGCACTTGTTTTGCAATAGAAAATTATCCAAAATAATAGAGTTTGAAGCAATTTTTGAATAAGATAGAGAGTTTTTCATTCAGAATTTTTCTTTTTATAAGATAGAGAAATTTAAAAATTGCTATAAAATTGCCAAAAAATATTTTTTTCTTTTGAAATTTATGCCACTGATGCGGGATAGTTTGCTGGATATTTTGCCATCAAAATCTTATTTTCATAAAAATGACAGATAGAAACTATTGAATATAGTCCCTCGATATATTTTCATGATTTCTTTAGTACGTATTATATTTAATGCGTTTAAATACATAAATTTTTCATAAGTAAAGGCATGAAAAATTCCAGCCAATTCAATTTATTTTTTTTTTTGCTTGGTACTGTAGGAATTGTAATATTTGACAATAGGATTTGAGGGAAATGTTCATTTCATACAATAAATATCAAAAATAACATTAGCTTTGTTCCTTTACTTGTCAAGTTTGCAGGTTTTTACCAGAAATTGTAAAAGAGAACAAATTTGAGCAATTAAAATTATTTCCTCTTTGCCAGAACTTGCAGGTTTTAGCCAGAACATTTTTTTCTGGCAAATAGAAAAAAAAATTGTCAAATAAATTATTTGTTTAAAAAAATACATTGAAAACAAAAAATGTTTGATATTTTTGATTTATTTTCATAAAAAAGTATGTGTGATTGTAGTTTTTCAATTTTATTTTAATTTTAATAGAAATTTATATGAATAAACTTCAATACAAATTTATTGAAAGAGAAATTTTGTTTTTTCTGTTCCCGTCATGGTAAAAATATCATATTTTTATCATGGTTCCCGTACTTTTTATAAGTACGAAGAGAAAATTCATTAATTCTCTTTAGCCAGAAAAGTTCTGGAGCAAAGCTATTAATTTTGTTAAATTTTTGTATTTAATATTTGTTAAAATTAGTATTTTTAATATCTTACATCCCCACAGAAAATTTATAGCTTACTACATTGATATTGTGTTGCTTATTTTGTATTCGAAAGTGCTTACAAACTTACACACACTCTGGCTTACTTTACACAGGGTATGGCCGCTTGAAAATGGCACACTAACTGATATACTTGGTTTGCGATATTGTGTGTAGTTTATACTTTTTTTATAATATACTTGTGTGTGGAAATGTAGCTATTCCTACATTCTTACCGATATACCTAGTAAGTAAAATTGTTTCCACAGCACCTTTCTAGCTGGAACACAAGTGTATCAAAAAGTGTCTACAACAACTTTCTAGGTTAAATACATGTGTATTAAGAAGTATCTAAATATGTATATTTTTTAAAAAATGCTACACAAATACATGTATCTACAAATTCATTCATAAGTATAAGGCCATTCCAATTATCGCTAGATCATGATCCTAATTTTAAGCAATAAATTTTGCTTAAAATTCATCTAAACATTAAAAAAATGTTGATCCAAAAAATATTTTTCAATAAATGAAAAATTTTTTGTTGATTAAATAACAGCACACTTGATTTTTTATATTTCAATTTTCTGTTCTCATATACAATGTTAATCACAAGTATATTAAGATGTAATGCAACAAAATTTTATTAAAAATTGAAACTTCATATCCAGATTTTATATACAAGTAAATCAAATTATAAGTAACACAAAGTAAGGCACACAACATTGGTTACAATTCCGAGTACTCTGAAAATTTTCTGTGGGGATACTAAGAGAAGGAAAAAACAAAGTTGACTGACTGCTTAACGAATTTTAAAATATAATGGGTAGTTTTACTCTGAATGAATTTTAATGCAATTCAAAATCAGTTATTAATGTTTTATTTTTTATCAATATCACGCTAAAAAATAATTTAAATATCATCATCATCATCATCATCATCATCATCATATATATTAATACGCAAAGCCAAAACGATTGGGAACATTTTCCGGCCCTATTACTTGACCGATTTTCTTGATTCTTTTTTTGATGAATGCAGATTCGCGAGCCTCACTGCAGAATCTATATGATCAAAATTGGTGCAGTATTTTCGGAAATATAAGCGTTTAAAGTTTCTACCAATACACAATCACACAAACATGTGCTTGAATTAAAAAATAGAAAGCAAAACAACAACACTGCTTTTTTTTCATTGTAGAAATAAAGAGAGGAGAGTGTAAAAACATGTTACTTCTCTGTTGATGGTTTATTTTTGTATTTTGCAAATTGCAATGATATTTTTTGTTGTTGTTTTTAATAAGATTTTTGTAAACTAATAAGTTTACAGACAGGCTTAGACAAAGCGAAAATATGATTTTATTGCTTTTTATTTTTAAAAAGTGTAAAGTGATAAATTTTGAATGTAATAATGATATATTATTATATTACTGATGTAAGATACAAGAGGATGATGATGTTTGACCTGGGAAACATTGGTGGGACAACAATTCTACATAAATGTTAGTTTTTATTGATTTTAAAGATTTTAATGATGGACAAAAACAAATCCTGTTAAAATATAAGTAGCGCAGTGAGGATTTGATGATATTCTTCTTTTTCGGGTTATTCTAACCGATTAGGAAAAAGGCGGTTATTGAAATTGTAGTGTAAAGTGAAAACTGTAGTTTGTGTAGGCGATGGTTACTTATATGTTTTATAAAATAGAAAAATGTTGAAACGGGTCAAATACAAATCATGGTTGATGGCTGCCCTTACTTAGGGTGGTATTAGAATAAAATACATGTCGTCTAATACCACCTTTAGCAATTTATCGTTTATTATTCATTTACTCGCTATTAAACTTACATATATTAATATAAGGCTGGAATTTATTAAGTACTTAAATAATTATGAAAAATTAAATAACTAAATCATGGACAAACTCTTGAAGTAAAGAGACGTTAAAGTCTTATTCTCCAGATACAAGAATCTATCCCTGTTGCAAAATCTCTCTTGCCTATGCACTTCTACGCGAAAGCTAATAGAATGCCTATTAAAAGGTTTTCGCTTAAAGGCATATAAGTAGTACAGCTTCATAGAATATATACTATTAAATTCGATTAAAATACATTTAAAGCCAAATGAGTAGTAAGTCAGCTGAAAGAAGTCTTTATCGAGTGTTATAAGGGAGAATTTATACAACATAAACCTGAAGGATGGACTTTTTATACTAAATACAGTAAAATTAATTTATTTCTTACAAAGATAATATATACTATATATACCCCTGTTCCAAAATCCCATTCCGATCTAAAATGGAGTTATTTTAGTAAATATATTTATTAAAACTTAAAAAAACAATAATTTAAAACATCCCACTTTAAAAATTGAAAGTGGTTTCATTCCAAAAAAGGTCTTTTTACTTTATTCAAAAAACAAAAACTCGGAAATAATTCCACTTTTGATCGGAATGAAATCCTTTTACAGTCCTGATAGCAATAATTAAAAAATTGAATTTTAAATAAAATTTTGTTAGATCATAATTTGCAATGTACTTTTGAAGGACTACTTCAAGTAACCTTCTGCGGAAATTCATAGTTACAAAAGATAAAAATACAGAAGATATGTTGAATTTTGGTTATAAAAATCTATGTCCAGTTTTGAAAAAAAGCTAATAGGTTTGGATTCTATGCTCTCTTGAGAATATTAATCTATTTATGTTTTTGTTATCTGTCAGCTAAAAAAAAAACTTAAAAACAAATTTGGATAGTTTCATAAACAAATAATAATTTTTCGAATTCAATTGTTACAGGCCTATTCAAAATATTTTTTAGGGGTTTGTAATTTTCTGATTCCTCATAACAACAGTAAAGTAAAGAATTACAATTTCACTTCCAAATCAAATAAAAGATACATTCCGCCTATAAATAATCTGTGTTAAAATCAACCATTCTGTAGGTCTTTTTTTTTTTTTTGGTGGGATATACAAATATAGGTTGAATAATATTACAGGTTACAAAGGAATAGTGCTGGGCAGGTTCGACATTGTTTACGACAAGGGGTATGGATGATTGCTGGAGGAATTGGCAGATTGTTAAACATAGGGAAATATCATATTGTAAGTTTTGCATAGATTTTATGAACATTTATATATAGGATAAAAAATCGAAAAAAGAAATGTTCATTGTTTTTGCTTTAAAAAAAAGTTCAAATATTTTTGAAAAATATGTTGCATAAATAATTTTAGAACTTAGATTTTAAACTTCTTTCAGAATTTTAACCAAAATTTTTCCCATTTTCTAAAAGAATACGTTGATCAAAGAAAGTTATACACTTTGATAATAGCAATTGAAATCACTTTTTTCAGTCATTTGAACTATAAAAGTAGGGTTTTATTTTGTAGCATAAGTATGCAATCTTCCCTTCAATGATTCCGGCCGAATTTCGGCAGCGGGGCGAACTCTAGTTAATAATTAATTTGTAATACCTTTAATAATGCATTTTACAATAAATATAGTGCGCCAATGAAAATTCGCTTGAGAATCATCGAATGTTCATTGGTTGTAAACAGTCATTTGAATGCCGAACTATTTTTCCAAAAAAGAACACATGCTCGCCAATGACACGCTAATGTTAAAATCAAGCATGTTTCACCTAAATATGAACCAGTTCATTATCAGTTAAATCCATGTATTTTTTTTTGTGGTATTAATTTTATTAAAGCTGACAATGCTGATGCCGCATGTCGCGTACATTGGCCCTGTTCTATAAATAGATGAGAGAGAAAATCTTTGTCCCCCTATAAAGCCTAGTCGAAGAAATGACTAACTATTTCCCTTGACAAAACATAGTAGACTGCGAGGGTTAGTACCCGCAATATCCCCCATTTCGTCATGGATCCTATTGCCTAGCCATTTCAGGCAGAGATTCTGTATCCTGGGACAGTAGCAAATTATATGCCTGATCGACTCTACTTCCTCTTCATCTTTGCATAACCTGCAATAGTCCCCGTTAGCATCGCTATCAGAATCCTTAGACTGCATTATTCCACTATAACAAGTTTAGGTCATAGGGCCTTTGATACTTTGCAAACCAATCTACTATTCCAGCACTGGTTTATTATGTCTCGTATTCTTACGAATATGAGCCTACAATAATGACAAATGGGTGGTTTTACCATCCTTTCCCTATCATCTATATCAAGATTCGAACCTAATCTAGCCAGTTCGTTCGCAAACTCATTACAATGCACATTACAGTGCCCCGGCACCCAACACATTCTAATGACAAACAGACTCATAATGTTCCTAAGGGCATTTCTACAATATATAACCATGCGCTAATGTACCTAATGTAACATAATTTCGATGTCAATTTGCATCGTTAGGTAAATCTATTTCCAACATTTTCTATATGTTTTCTAGATATTTTTAGAACTAGTGTTACTAGTAATTTTTAAACACATAATGTTAATTAGAACATTAAGATGGTATAGCAATGTTTACAGTTGGGAACTAGTGATTTTTGTACTAGTAAAATATTAGTTTGGCGCTAGTTCCATTTCCTACAGCGATATTTGAAATTTGATAGATCTATATAAGACTTAGTATGACGCATTATGTGTAGCCCTCAGTTCAAAAAACGACACTACTTCATACAAAAATATAATGTATACTATTTTTATTCTGGTAAATAGTTTAGGTGTAAAACACGGATATCTATGTACATATCTATGACACGTGCGAACTTACCTGTAAATATAATTTGTATAAGCAACAGAATAAGAATTACTTTTGCTACAATATTTGTTGTAAATATTTGATTTGATTTCAACGTTATATGCACCATTATAGATTTTCAGTCTTTATATTTTTGATATTCTACTTTTCTACTTTGCGATTATGATACTAAAATAGGCTATTGTATTGGCAATTTCTTGAGTTGTGAAAGTATGTTATGGAAATATTTATTGTATATTCTTTGTTTATCATGGGGTTTTCCTCTTATAAGACTAAATTATATACATAGATTCTACAATGTGTACACGTACAACCAATTTTTGAAAACCAATTCACATAAAATTCAATTCATTCACTATAACAATATTAATTGCATGAGTAGGATTTACACATGTACTATATATGTATGTAGATTCATATGAAGGTTTTTATTCATATGGACGTGTAGAAATAATTTAAACTTTACGTAAATGTACCGTAAAATATTTTAAATCTTTTAGATAGAATATATCCGTTAGATTGTAGTGACACTCACTCATTCACCAGCTAGATACATTCTTAATACTAACACGTTCTATGTATAGGAAAACAACAAATGTAAAAACAAAAAATAACACGAAACAAGAATATCTAAAGAAATTGTGAGAAACAAAGAAGAAAAATTAATCCAATAAACACCACACAAAAAATAAACTGAAAGAGGTCAATGCCAATTATTGATATTTTTCCGTTTTATATAGCAATTGTTGTTATCGTTGTTGTTAATGATGTCTTTTCTTTTTTTAATTTTAATTCTTTTATTTATTGATAATTTCTTTGATGTAAATTATTTTCACAACCGGAAAAAAGTTTTATTTACTAGATGAATAATGAACAAAATAAATTTTATAAACCACTTTTAAATTTTTTAAACAATGAGTAACTGAACTGTTCCGATAAAATTCCATTCAATGGTAAAATAAAATATTAATCACATAAACGTACTACATATATTTGCTTTTCCTTATTACTATTATTGTTCAGAAAAATTTACTAGATTAATATGCAGTGACATACAACTGTCTAATATAATAGTGCTTGTCGTTCCAAAAATACATCATTGTTGTTGTCAATTTGCCACCACCTTGTTATGTGTGTTCTACTACTTCTTTTTAGGGTTCTATAGTTGAAACGAAAAGTCGACTTTTCGACTTTTTTCGTTTAGTTAAAAGTCGACTTTCGACTTTTTGCATTTTATGAAAAGTTGATTTTCGACGCACATAAAGCCGGAGGTCCACACTACGCGTCTTCGCGTCAAAGCATTACGCGCTTTTCATACCTCCTTCGCGTTCTACGCTTCAAGTTACATGCGACGCTTTTTAAGCATATATTTTTTGTTTTATTTTTAAAAAACTTCGCGTTTTTCTACAGCTTTAATTAATTTTTCATCATTAAACTCATTTTATTTTATTAAAATTTTTAAATACGCATTAAATAAACAATATAAAATGTCAAAATCAGCTGACATGTTCGTGTGCCGCTTGTGACGCTTATAAAAGTAGAAAGTAGATCTACTTTAAGCATTCTACGCGTCAAGGCATTCTACGCTTTTGTGCTTGTAACTTTTACCATACAAATACATTGATTATATTTTTTTGACAGACGCATAGAATGCGAGAAAGCGTAGAACGCGTAGTGTGGACCAGAGATACAAGCCGAGACGGCTCAAATCGGCGGCGGCTGGCCACCGGTAATATTTAGCAAGCCGCGCCGCCGCCGACTTCTTTCGGCTCAAAGGATAAGCCGGCTTAAACGTAGCCGCTGATAAAGATTGGAATCGCACATGTATTTCAGAAAATGATTTCACCAATTTGAACAGAGTTGCCACTATTTTAAATTCTTATGGCAAATTCAAAAGAGTTGCCACACAATATTGTGCTAATATTAAAATAGTGATAACTACTATAATAATGTCCATTTTCTAAAGAAAAAACTTATATAGAGACAGGTTTCTATATAACAGACTATTATACAGAGATTTTTCAATATAATAAACGCTTATAAGGTCAATTTCTGAAGAAAACGTTAAATTGAGCCGACAATTTAGCCGCCGCCGATATTTTCTAATATAAGCCGCCGCCGCCGACCTAAAATGGTTGCGCCGCCGCCGCCGATCATTTTGCATCGGTTTGTATCTCTGGTGTGGACCTCCAGCTTAAAGAAAACAACCCGACGGAAAATAAAAAAAAACCGTAACAGCTGTTTTATCAAAATAAACATTTTTTTGATGTGGTGAGTTTTTTTTACAAATATGTGTTTCTGCACGTGGAAAAGACGCAAAAACTCGTTTTCAATATTTACATTTTCAATACGTGTTTATACACGTGGAAAAGATTAAAAAAAAAATGATTTTCATGATTTACTAAAAAAAAAATATTTTTGATCAATTAAATATGTATATAAATGTGGAAAGGAACAAATCTTATAAAATATAAATATATTTGGGATTAAATCGTTACAGAATGCCTTTTAATAAAAAACATTCAAAATATATATATATATATATATATAGAATATGATATATAATGCTATCGGACGATCTTGTGCACGATAAAAACCTATATAGAACTTTAAGTTGGAAGTGTAGAAATCGGATGGCATACATTTTTTTCCAGATTTCATCGTTCTAGGGTGTGTACTACAAGAACAAACTTATTTTTACATAAAATTTTATTATTGAAGTATATAGAAAATCATATATAACTGCTATCGAACGATCTTGTGCACGATAAAAACCTATATAGAACTTTAAGTTGGAAGTGTAGAAATCGGATGGCATATATTTTTTTCAGGATTTCATCATTCTAGGGGGTGTACTACAACAAAACATTTTTTTTACAAAAAATGTTACTATGGCCGTATATATAAAATGATATATAACTGCTGTGGCAACTCTAATCTATTTTAAAATACTATGTTATATATAATTATTTGAAATTTGAATTTAAAAAGACGGTATTGAAAATATTGTCATTCATATACATTTTAGAATTGAAAAACAATAATTTAATAAAATATTATTAAAACTGAAAATTATAATTCGTTGGTATTTTATCAAGTTATTACATTGGCGACGAGAGATAAATATCTGGGTAGCGGAAAGAAAAGTTAAAACTGGTGACTGCAGACTCATTAAATTGGTGAAAATCACATTAGATTGTGTCATTTGGTTAAGCATTAAATTGCTAAGAAGTCCTAAGAGTGGATCTTCAGTTTGTAAAATACATTAAATTGTGGAATTGAAATCACATTCAATTGTGTAAGAGGTTGCACATTAAATTGTGCGGTTGAGATAACATTAAATTGTGAAATCGATAGCACATTCAATTGTGCATGGACATATAGCATTGGCAAGAATAATTTTTTTTTTTTTTTTTGAGAACAAAGATGTCGGTTATAACCCCGTTTCTCTGCGATATTATTGATAAATCTTTAATGCGTGTGGAGTGGGAAAAATGGTTTCGGTCATTCAAATTATATTTGGCTTCGGAAGAAATAGATGATCCAATCAAAAAGAAAAACAAGTTGCTTCATTTGGGAGGACCACAACTTCAAGAAGTTATTTTTAATATACCTGGTGCTTTAGTCGAACACAATCCAAATTATGATGTCGATGTTTTCGCCATATTGGTAACAAAGTTAGATGAATATTTTTCCCCTAAGAGAAATTCGACATTTGAGAGACATTTATATAGAACCCTTGTACCTTCTGATGGTGAGTCTATTAACAAATTTCTTTTACGTTTAAGGCACCAAGTTGCAAAATGTTCATTCGGTTCAACAAAATCGGAAATAGAGGATATATGTATTAAAGACAAGATAATCGATTCATGGGCTCCTATCGAGCTAAGAAAGAAACTGTTAGAGAAAGAACAGAGTCTAGATGATGTAATTGAAGCTTGTCAAGTATACGAACAAATAAATAAACAATCACACAGCATGTTGGCAAGGTCCAATGAAGAGGTAGTAAATAAGATTTCGTCAAGAAAACGATTTCCCCAAAATTCTGAAACTGAGTGTTTTAGATGTGGTCGAAGTGGTCACATTGGCAGCTCTTCGAATTGTCCAGCAAGAAATGCAAAATGCAATAGATGTTCTCTTCTAGGACATTTTGCTATCAAATGTAAGACAAAGATTTCCAAGAGGAGATATGAGGAGAGTGATGAAAAGCGGCGTTACACGAAAATGAACTACGTCAGTTTGATTGCTTTAAAATCAATGACAACAACGAAGGCGATGAGATAATAGAATGCCATATTGGGGGTGAAGTTATGCAAATGGTTATTGATTCTGGTTCTCGATTTAATCTTGTCGGTGAGAAAGACTGGGCCATATTGAAAAATAGGAAAGCGATTGTTTGGAATATACGATCAAACTCTTCAAACCAATTTAAAGCATACGCTTCAGATCATATTCTCAAGGTTTTATGTGTATTTGATGCTCCAATTTCAGTAAATAATAACTCGGAAAAAGTAGCTACGTTTTACGTAATTAAAAATGGAACTCAGTCATTATTAGGTCGTGAAACATCAATAGATCTTAAAGTATTACGTCTTGGTTTAAATGTAAATCGTATCGAAAATGTAAAACCATTTCCTAAAATGAAAAATATTCAAGTAAAACTATCTATCGATACATCTGTAAAACCTGTACAACAACCACTTCGACGTATTGGTATACGTCTCTTGAGGACAAAGTATCAGCTAAACTGGATGAAGCAATTAGTTTGGATATAATTGAACCTGTCCATGGACCAAGTCCTTGGATTTCACCGGTTGTGATTGTTTTTAAAGGTAACGGTGAAATGAGGTCATGCATTGACATGCGGCGCGCAAACAAAGCTATTATGCGTGAAAATTATCCTTTACCAACATTTGAGTCCTTTATGACGAAGTTAAGAGATGCCAAATACTTTTCAAAATTAGATTTTAAGAGTGCTTATCATCAACTCGAATTACATGAGCGCAGTAGGGAAATAACCACTTTCATTACTCATAAAGGTTTGTTTAGATATAAGAGATTGATGTTTGGTGTAAATTCTGCACCTGAAATTTTTCAACGCACGTTAGAAGGACTTTTAGCATCTTGCAGCAATTGTCTTAATTACATAGATGACGTTATTATATTTAGCAGTACGAAAGAGGAACATGATAAGGCAGTTAAAGAAGTAATCGATGTGTTTAAAGAAAACAACCTTGCACTGAATAATGAAAAATGTGTATGGAATACAAAAGTTAAAGTTCTTAGGACATATTCTATCCGATAAAGGTTTCATAGCAGATCCGGAAAAAATTAAAGTAATTACCGAATTTCGAGCTCCAAATACCAAAGAAGAGACTAGAAGTTTTCTAGGATTAATAACGTACGTTGGAAAATTTATTCCTGATTTGGCACATGTTACTGAACCACTAAGAATTTTATTAAAAGCTGATTCAAAATTTGTGTGGGGTCCTGAACAAGAGAATGCCTTCCAACATCTGAAAACACTATTATCTCAAATTCCAAATTTATCATACTTTGATCCAAAAAGAAGAACTCGTGTAGTAGCAGATGCTAGCCCCGTAGCATTGGGTGCAGTTTTGATCCAATTTGATTCTGAAGGCGACCCAAAAATTATATCTTTTGCTAGCAAGAGTTTGTCCGACGTCGAGAAGAGATATTCCCAGACTGAAAAAGAAAGTTTAGCTTTAGTATGGTCGGTTGAGAAATTCTATTACTACTTGGCAGGTCTGGAATTTGAATTGGTTACAGACCATAAACCACTAGAATCAATTTTTAACCCAACATCTAAGCCTCCAGCTCGAATAGAACGGTGGTTATTGCGTTTACAATCATTTAAATTCAAAGTGATTTATCGGTCAGGCAAGGAAAATATAGCCGATTCAGTTTCGAGACTTTGCAAAATATCTAACACAAACTCATTTGATGGAAATTGTGAAAATAACATATTTCAAATTGTGCCAAATTCTATACCGATACCTATTACAATTACCCTTATAGCAAAAAGAAGTGCGGAAGATGAAGAAATCTGCAATAATATAAAACTAATTAAAGATGAG